AGGACTTGCCGGCCAAATATGCTCTCTGTATGGATAATCATCTAGCAAATTACAAGGGCTGTCAAGTATACAAAAATCTCCAACAACTTCGTAAGCCTACTTCAAATAAAAATAGTAATTATACAAATAAAAATACTGTAAAAAATGTTAATAATGATAATGTTAAAAATACCGATTGTGAAGCCACCCAACAGCCCACTACCAACACGTTCATACCCCAAAGACCAAACTATACATACGCACAGGCTACCTCCCCTAATAATTCATCCCAAATACTAAATAATTCTATAAATGAAAATGCATTCTTTAATTTTCTCAATGAGTTTAAATCACTCATAAACCCACTACTATCTTTACTCACCACAGTTCTTAACAGTTTATTGAGTCAAAATGTCAAATAACTCATTTACTTCTCACTCTTTAGCCATCCTTATGTGGAATACCAATGGATTAACAAATCATAGAAATTAACTTATATTAACACTAAATGAAAAAAGAATAGACTTAGCCTTAATCTCTCTAAGATATTACACACACACGTACACACATACACGTGCACGCACACACACACACACACATCATATAAAAAGAGTATAGTTTTTTAGTTAAAAGAAAGACGTGTTCTTATTGTCTTTTTGTATAGATGGTCAAAGGCGTGTGTAAGAGACTACGCAGATCGTCTATAGAAAAGAACATAATAAATTGTAAATGTTTTATAATAATGTGTTAATATGTGTATAAGTAATTTGAATAAAATCCATATAAGTGAGTTAAAAAAAGAAAGTAATTGTTATTTTAAAATATAAGTTGATTACCTTATTCCATACCTAAAGAGTCAACCACGGCTTTTAAGGGGCAGACCGATTCAATCATTGGAGAGGTAATATTGTTTATTTATGATATAACAAGTAATGATTTAAAAAAACATATAAGTTAGTATTTTTCTCTTGTGAGAAAATTATGTATTTACACATATTATTAGAAATGAATAAATTATGTATTAATTAAACGTGTATGGTCCAATTTTTTCGATAAAAATTTATAATCATTTTTTCAATTTTATATAAAAACTTTTTTTAATTATTTCTTCTAGTATGGTATCGTTTACTCTAGTTTCAATATTAGGTAATGTAAAGAGACGAAAAAAATAACGATTTTTTGAGTAAAACATTAAATTATACGTGAAATTGAATAGAAACCAGAGTTTTTTCTTAGATTAAAATCATAGAATTTAATTCGATTACGTATAAGTATTTTCCAACTGATAGGCAATATACGTTGCAATAAGCGCTTAATGATGTAGATACAGGGAGGTTTTAGGGGTTAAAACTACCCATCAAACTAAAAATAAGAAACACGAATACAAATATGTGAAAATATAGTACAGGAACTTCAAATGTCTAAAAATCTATTTATATTTATTATCTACACTATAAAAATTGTTATTTTGCGGTATGAAATGTTATTACATTTTACTAAGTATAAAAGTCTCAACGAGTAAAACTAATAATATTTTAATACATGCAAGATTAAATCAATATTCTGTAACCATCAAGTTTCATATTATAATATGATTAAGATATAATTATGAATAATTCAACTGTAATTTTCTCTACTTTTATTTTACTATCGTTCATCAGTAAAAATGGATAAATTCATAATAAAGGTTATTTTAAAAAAGTATACTCAAATAACTTAATTAATAGAAGTATCGGTTGTTTTATTGATACAATTATTAATTTTCCAGAATATAATTTATATTTTTTTTTCATATATGTTGAAAACAAAAATTATTGGTTGTAAGACTTAACAGTTTAACTATTTTCTCACAAAAATAATTTGAATGAAAATTATGCAATACTATCTTCTTAATGTGATTTATAAAAATTGATTAACTAATTTAATGTGAATATTGAAACATTTTTTTAAATTTAGACATAATTAATTTCAAGCGTACCGATCAATCTAGTATTGCAGTTTGGATTTTATTACAAACTGAAAAACATATAATCTACGTACACTCACCAATAGACACAAAAAAATCAGCATTTTACGACCTGACTATATTTTAAATATTACTTATTAGATTACCTATGTACTTGATATCTGAATATAAAATATAGTTATTTTATGTACATACTATATATTGAATGTATTATTTTATTATATGAATAATAAAAATAAGCAATAACGATCAATTGTTGTGATATTTAAACTAAGTATAAAGTATAAATCCTTTCAAGAAAAAAATCATATCTACAGCTACAATAATTGTGAGGTGTGATGAGTATGTCATGTAAATTATAAATTATAATATACCTAGTGATGATCACATGGGCGTAGTGTTGTCTATAATGATTTAAATCGATACACTGATACGTGAGAATTTCGTAAACAATATTATATAACTTATAACAATAATGTATAATTAATCAAATTAAGTTCATGCAAATAAAAAAATCTGAAAACATATCAATAAACTAATTAAAAACTATTATCAAAAACAACAAAGTTATAATTTAAAAATATTAAAAATTAACTATCATTAAACAATATACTCTCTAAAGAATCCGACATATTTTTATTAATATTTTTACTAAGATTCATAAATGTTGATTTCCGAGAAACGCTAGCTAAAATAACATACATATAAATAAACGTTTTTAGAACAACTGCATGAACAAAATAAAATAAGGAAATAAGCAAAAATTAACACCATCAACAAAATAAAGAACAAATTTGGAGCTCTATAGAAGAAACATGTTTATTTGATGAACATTGAACAGATATTTTGCAAAAAATTTAAATTTGTCTTTAAACTAAATGGAAATTTGACAGACTATGATAAAGTTACGCCCATTTTTTTTCTCGATATCTATGTAAAAATAAAATTGAGTTTCAATTATTCAAGAGGTTATTGAGCATTTATAAAATCACTGAGATCAAAAATGGTAAAAATAAATTTCTTTTCCATAAACATTTCTCATAAGTATCTAAAGTTTCGAAACAATAATGTAAAACCACAACATTTTCCCGAGATCTAAATAAGTACACAGGAAAATGATATACTGCATATATATATATATATATATATATATATATTAATTTTATTTGCAAATGTATTAGATTTAATTTTATAATCATTTTAATTTAAAAATTTAAAAATAAAAAAATGTTTATTTTGCCAAATAAATTATAATAATTCTAAATATTAGTTGTTGTTATTACTTGTTCAAAACATTATTATTTTGGTCCTATCAAATAAAACCATGATGGTACAAAAATTAATCAAACTAAATTCAACAATACCATTATTAATAATCATTATCATGTGTTGTTGTTAATAATCTTTGTTTAAAATGATTAGTAAACATTTAATTAGAGAACTTTAACACTTAGCCTATTTTATAACTGATTAGGACCTACCTATATTTATTTACTTATCGGTCATATTTACCATAACTAAATGTTTTCACGTCATTATTTAACGGATTATTTTTAGTTCTTCATTTTAAAAATGATAGAAAGTGATTACATGTTCGATGTTCAATACTATAATGCTACAGTTTAATAATAACAACTATTGATTAGGTTTTCTCATTTGTTGAACTATTACAATATTATTTTGAACGTTTAAGTATAGATACATGTAATTTATACACTTAAATTTCATTCAATTATGTTACGGAGTTTTAAAAATTATCATTTATGCAATATGGCTCGGAAAAAACACGTAAAAAAAAATTAAAATATGTTTTAGTATAGGTTTTTAAGGAATATATAATATTATATTATTGAAAACATCTCGTAGACCGGGAAAGTGATAGCCATACGAAGAGAAGATCAATCAGTATGGGAAAGGAGAGCTCCGTTCGCCCCAACCAACGTGGCAGAATTAACCAGAAACGGCGTCAAAGTAATCGTCCAACCGGCAAATAGGAGAGCTTATCCTGTTCAAGTATATAAATATAAATATAGTTACTATTCTACCAATATATATTATACATTATGTATGATATTTTAATGTAGAATATAAATAAAACAGAAAATTTGTTATTTCACGAGGTTTCTTTTATATGTACCTATGTATATATTAAGCTATTTACATACGTATGTTTGATGATGAGAATGATGTAAAATATTGTATATTTAACCTCCGAGGAAAAAATCTGTGCAACTCGAGTGTTATATTCGAATAAAAAAAAAACTTATCTCAAACCTTTTACTTCCGTTGATGTCAATATAATTACAATATTACAATCCGGTGTTATAAATACGACCATTTTATTATTTGCCTTTGTCTATATCCAAATAAAATTCTTTAACTACTCTTTTTTACTCAACCTTAATACAGGCATATGTAAACGCCGGAGCAGTGATACAAGAAGACATCGCTGAGGCGTCCGTGGTATTTGGTGTGAAACAAGTGCCGGTGGATTTGTTATTACCGAACAAAACGTATTGCATGTTCTCACATACGATCAAAGCTCAAGAAGCAAATATGGCACTTCTAGATGCGATTTTAGAAAAAGTAAGAAAGAAAAAAAAAACCGAAAATATATATTCTACCAGATTTATGTAAACATTTTCATTAATAGTAATTCTGTGTTTTTCCTCCATCCCTAAAGAACATACGATTAATAGATTATGAAAAGTTAATGGATTCGTCCGGCAACAGGGTGGTAGCTTTTGGGAAATACGCTGGCATTGCCGGCATAATAAATATTTTACACGGTTTGGGATTGCGATTGCTGGCTTTAGGACATCACACGCCACTAATGGTAAGTGGATAAATCAGCTGCTGTCCGAAAAGTACTTAAATAAGGTATCGTAAATTACGTTCACAGCATATAGGACCTGCCCACAATTATCGGAATTCGATGATGGCCAAACAAGCGTTAAGGGACGCTGGATATGAGATCGCGTTGGGCATGATGCCTAAATCTATCGGACCGATTACATTTGTCTTCACAGGGTACGTAACTTAGAAATTATATAACTACATATCATGAGTTTTGTAAATAAAAAGCATTTTTGTGCATAACATTTGATCCTGTATAGATCAGGAAACGTATCTCAGGGTGCTCAAGAAATATTCCGTGAGCTACCCCACGAGTACGTGCCGCCGTCTACGCTAAAAAAAGTGGCCGAACACGGAAGTAATACAATATGCTTATTCCAAAAAAAGAAAATCCTCGAATAATTTTCATAATTTATTTCAGTGAATACAAAGTTTTATTCGTGCGTGGTCACGCGTAAAGATTATTTGGAAAGGATCGAAGGTGGAGGATACGACCAAGAAGAGTATGAACAGTATCCGTCCAGGTACAAATCTACGTTCAACAAAAAGGTATGATATATTTTTCATCAATTTTTTTTCTAGTTTGTACGTTAGTGTGCTTAAACGATTATGTTTCACGACTTACAATACAATCAACGCAGATCGCTCCGTACGCTTCAGTAATCATTAACGGGATATATTGGGCTCCGGATTGTTCCAAGCTGCTGACGGTACCGGACGCCAAAACCTTACTTTCTCCGTCCCAACTTCCGTGGATACAAATATCCGAAGGCGCCCCAGGACTACCACACAGGTTACTCGGCATCTGCGACATATCTGCCGACCCTGGTGGTTCCATCGAGTTCATGAACGAGTGCACGACTATCGATAATCCGTTTTGCCTGTACGACGCGCATTTACATAAAGACACTAAAAGGTACGTATTATTATTGATGTTTTGATTTTAAATGTTCATTTAAATGATAGGAGAATAAAATTATTATTTTATTGATATCAATGATAAATGCAGAAACAATATGTTCATATGTTTATACATCTTTTAACGGCTGCATCCGAATTGGGTCCCGAATTTAAAATTAATATACTAATTGGATCCCGAATTATTTTAGGTACTCACAAGTTGGGTCCTGAATTATTTTAGGTATACACTAGTTCCTAAATATTTTTTGGGAAGTACTACATTATACTAATATTTTTCTTCACATTTTAACAGACTTAAGACTGTCTATGATATATTTAAATAACAGGACCACATTTTTTTCTATAATTTCTATAATATTTTTATAAAATAGTATTGGAAAGTTAGTATAGTATAATAAAAATATTATAATAATAAAAAATATTATACAATAATATTAATACAATTTTAATATTTTTAATATTTTTACCAAAACAATTCTAATAATTTATATTTTAATAGAAAAGAAACTGTATAAAAAAAACTACCCATAAAAAACATTTTTTACAATATCTGTAGTCTAAATAGAATATAGACAGTCCTAAGTCTGTTAAAATAGGAAGGAAAATGTTAGTATAATGTAGTATTTACCAAAAAATATTCAAGAACTAGTGTAATACCTCAAATAATTTAGGATCCAACTAGTATAGTACCTATAAAAATCCAGGACCCAACTATTATACTAACTGTGATTAGCTTCTAGTACTCGGGACCCAACTCGGTTGCTCCGCTTTCAACTTAAATAACCTCGGGAGTCTTAATAGTTTTAAGAGTCACGAGATTTATTCGTATCATAATTAAAACTATTAAATAAAATATAAAACATATAATTTATTTGAACTCGACAAACAAAAGTAATCTTTTGAAATCATCCAACATATTAGTGACTATTTATAGTTTATTTTCAAACGTATAATATATTTATTACCTACATGGAGTTTGTTTAACCATAATTCATTGTGTACGATAAATTATTCAACTTTTCATTTTCTCAATTCACGTCAGCAAATTTACTTTTAAAATCATTTTTATTAATTATCTACCAAAGTTCAACAAATGTTACAGTTTAACTGACCAAATTTTCGGACTTTTTCAAAAAATTTCACTTTACTTAGATCACTGACATCATGTAAAATTATAGTGTACAATATATCCAAATTAACAAAAATATAATACCTCTCATTGTTTAATTAAAAATTATTGAAAACTACAAATTAATGATATTTTTAATCTAAATATCTTACCAAATGAATCATTATTGCTAATGGCGGCTAACCATTATCAATATCGTTAAATTTCCTGATAGAAAACGTGATATTCAAGATATTTACGTACAATACACGAACTCGATTCAGTTTCAGAGGCTCGGGTGTGTTGGTCTGCTCCATAGATAATATGCCGACGCAGTTACCAATGGAATCGACCGATCTGTTCGGGAATTTAGTACTTCCGTACGCCATGGATATACTTCAATCGGACGCCACTGTACCGCTGGAGGAGCATGCTTTTTCGCCAACGGTTTTAGGGGTAATATTCAGGGTCAAGTTCAGTGGTTGTACGCGGTACATGTTAGTTTTAAATATTAACGTAAAGATCCATTCGTACAGGCTATTATTGCTAGCAATGGGTCTCTGACAGAACGATTTGAATACATTAAAGAGTTGCGGTTGGCCAATAAATTCTCATCAAATAAGTCTTCCACCATTGATAATACTGGAAAACGAGTACTGGTCCTAGGTTCTGGCCACGTGTGCGCACCTTTAATCGAATATCTGTTGAAAGACGAATCGATAATAATCGTACTCGGTAATACTATAATATAATTAAATGTTATTTGTTTAACCACTCACTGATGTTAATTGTTTCCCGGCTATTTATTCTGATGCAGGCTCCGCGAACCTGTGTGAAGCTAACAACTTGGCACACAAGTTTAATAGAGTAAAACCCGTACATATAAACATATTGGAAGAAGAAGTTAATTTAGAAAAACTCGTGAGTCAAACAGATTTGGTGGTATCGCTACTCCCCAGCCAATTCCACCACTTGGTCGCTGAACAGTGCATAAAAATGAAAAAAAACATGGTGACGGCTTCGTACTGTTCAGAACAGATGTCAGAGTTGCACGACAGGTGGGGGAATATGGTCGACTTAAGATTGAAAAATTGCGTATTCCAATGGTCACAATAATGCTTAATTGTAATTTTATCATATAGAGCTGTCGAGGCTGGCATAACCGTAGTCAACGAAGTCGGCTTGGATCCGGGCATCGATCACTTATTAGCAATGGAATGCATCGATCAAATACACGAAGAGGGCGGTAAAATTGATTCGTTTGTTTCGTACTGCGGAGGTCTACCGGCTCCAGAGTATTCAAACAACCCATTGAGGTACAAATTCTCGTGGTTCCCTCGTGGAGCGCTCATCAACACCATGTCTGAAGCCAAATATCTGCGAAATCACCAGGTGCGTAGTAAAAAACCGCGATTATACCTGTAAGCGTTTTTTTTTTTTTACTTGCATCTCTCATGTGTAATCGAACCCGATTGTTTCAGACAGTCAACGTTCCTGCGGGCGGCGCACTAATGAGCACTACAACAGAACTCGATTTCTTGCCCGGGTTTTCATTCGAAGGCTTCCCGAACCGAGATAGCACCCGATACGCCCAGCTTTACGGTATCGCCGCAGAAGTGCAGACCATGCTCAGGGGCACGATACGGTACAAAGGTAAGTGAAGTCACGGTTAGTTTAGGTTAGGTTAACGCGGTCGCGAGCAAATATCGTAACAATAGTATGCGAATGCGATCATAGGTTTTTCCGAGATGATGATGGTACTTCAAAAACTGCATCTTATCGAGACCAAAGACCACGCGGCCCTACACCCAAATGGACCGGACATCACGTGGGTAAGCGTATAATATACATTTTAGTATGGTTTTTTTTTTCAAACCATTTTAATCGGTTTATATTTTTCTCGTTTTTTTTTTTATTATTTATTTTCCTTACTTGTCCGTCTCAACATACTGCAGCGTCAGTTGATATGCACACTGTTAGAGATCAATGACATCGACTTATTCTACGAGAATATACTGTCGAAAGTAGCGGATAAAGTCGGTAAGCAGTTCTTGGACAAAATCGTGGATCTTGGACTGTTGACGGACGAACCGGTTTTGAAACTCGGTTCGCCGTTGGATACGTTTTCCCAATTCATCGCGTCGAAACTCTCATTAAGTACGTATGTAATGCATTAGTCGTTAGCACGTGTAAACATCGTATGATTATTGTGTTTCGTATACATAGGCAAAAGCGAAAGGGACCTGGTAGTATTGTATCACGACATTGGAGTTTTGTGGCCGGGTAATAGGTACGAAAAAAAATTAGTTACCCTCGTGTCGTACGGCGAGGTTGGTGGATACACAGCGATGGCGAAAACCGTGGGCATACCGACGGCGATCGCGGCTAACATGGTCCTTCAAGGTAACAAACCGTTACCGATATTTATTTAGTATATACGAGTACATAAGCCGTATTAATAGATAAACTGTTATTGTGCAGGGGAAATACAAGCTAAGGGCTTGGTGTTGCCGTTCACGCCAGACATTTATAGACCCATGTTGACGAGATTAAGGATTGAAGGGATTTCGGCCCAAACTACGAACGTACCATGTTGATCTAATTTGTTCTTCATAACAAAATACATGAGATTTATGATATGTATTATTTTCAAATATGGTTTCATAAAACATTTTATAATTATTCACTTTGGACTTTTACGCTATATACCATTATGGTTTTTATGAAATAATTGTAACGTTAAGTAACAACAATACAAATATAGATCCTGTGAAAAAATAAATAACTTTGTTCGATTGACGTCACTCCTGTTCAAAATGATAAGTAACAAAACCATTTCAATATGAAAAAGCTTTGTGTATAGTTATACTTCAGGGAGAGTAAATCGATACGCACAACATACATCACACATCAAATACCTATCTTCCCTCTAAAAATCTTTTTTTTATACAAGTGTACATAAACAAAATATAAACAACGTAATCGTACGTATATGTGTGCGAGTATACGTACGTGAGTGCTAACTGCTCACCACTAAAACATATTTAACTAGATTAAATATTTACAAATAATTAAATATATAATAATGATAGTTGATAAATTGTATTTATTTATATCATACTTAATTAAACTTAAAATGTATTTTATCACTACACTTACTACTATTTATAAAGTAATTATATTATAAATTGTATGTAGAGTAATATAAACATTATGTATTCAAAAAATTATTAAAAAAATATTCCAATTAATATCATTTCTCATTAAATGAAATAAGAAAACAACCCATTATATTAATCTAAAACATGTAGATATTTTTAGTAATTCAAACTTTTAAACAGTTATTTTATCATACCTAATTTTATTATACGAAATATATGTCATAAGTATTATGTCAACATTGTAATTTATCAATGTCACTTATACCCATCATCTAAAAAACTGGAAAACACTTTTTTCAAACCCCATATGAGAGGATTAAAAAAATATTGATTTACTACTTGTCCATTGATAAAATCTGTATTATAGCGATAATTAACTCGCAAATCTCGTGAATTTTAGATGAATGTAAAAGGTTCAATAAAAAAACGTAGAACATAAATTATATTGAAAACAATAAAATACCAATTCATCAGTACGTAGCAGTACTACAGCGGTTGTGTACAGATAGCCGATAGATTTTCTATGCTTAAAAATACGATTGGTATATACATAATTTCCCAAGAGCATCTACAGCATTCGGATTTCAAGAGAATGAGAACATTAAACAATAGTATACCAATGGTCACAAGTCAGAAGTCACCAAAATTACGAGCAAGCTCGGTACTGGTACAATAATAATGTCATATTGTCGTGTCGACATCATCACGATTCGCATTGACTACAATAAATTCATGGGCGTATTTAGAAAAATGTTATAGGGTGGGGCACAATAACAAACATAATACAATTCAACCATCATAGCTACTATAAAATCATTAAAAACGTATCACAAAGCTAATAACAAAATTAACTATCTGTTGATCCACTAATACGTTATGGTAATTTATTTTCTGCAATAATTATATTGTTATTAAAAATTATAAAAGCTGTATAGGCCTCAAATATTTTTATAAGTTTACTACCATACAGATACCAGCATAGGTAAGCTTGTATGTATCAATTAATTAATAACATTTATTATATAATCATCATTTATTTTTTACCAAATGTTTTAGACTAAATTACATTTGATTTGAACAACATCATATAAAATACACGGCTCTTACTCTTAACCTGAAATTTTAGAGCCTCATTTACAACATTTCGGGATATACTCGGGCACACCCGGCACCCCTTGTATATATCAGAAGTACAGTTATTATAATGTATTTTCTTCGACTAATAGTCCTATCATCTATTCTGCTATATGTTCTGTGCCGTGATTCTTGTACATTAATTATATTAATATGAATACTAGAAACTATATTATTTATATAGATAATGTAACTTTTAATTAATACTTATAAGCCAGTGTTTACGATTTACAAGTACATTTAATGACAACGAAAAAACCGGAAATTAAAAAAGAAAATAGCCTTTTTTATTTTTTAGTTAAAATATTTAAAAATAAAATATATATTTTAAAATTATTAATTCATCGAAAAAAATATACGACAGAAGAATGGAAACGGTATGAGGGTATATAGTGGTGTAGCCTCCCACGGGGATGGTCTTATAAATTAGTCATATTTTCCCAGAATCATTGTTGGGCTCCCGTAAAACTTAACTGTATATTATACGCATAACGGAGTAGCATAAATAAGTATACATTAGTATATATTATTATAATATACATATTTCCGTAATTTTATATCTAATACTTTCTTTCCCAGAATAGAAACACAGCTTACCATGGGCTACGGCCATGAATGCGATATAAAAAATGTTAAACTACAATTATACGCTATAAACAGATACACAACACTGTTCGTCTGAGCAAAATAATGGCAATAGTACCCGTAACATTAAAATACACTGCAAACTCATATACGATGTACTTACCTACCGATAGGGATTAGTGTTTGAGGTCAGAAATATTTCACGATTATTTTTTTCTTGACATTTTCGAACTGCACTAATTGGAATACACTATGTATACTGCTGTAATTCGATATGTAGAAAGTAATAGAGCTTAAGCAGTGGATCAACTTTTGGATAAAAGTGATATAGTAAAATGCATTAATACATTACGTCATCGCCGATGCTTTAATATGATAATCGCTTTAAAATACGATTACATAATAAAAGAAACGTATTACAATATCTATCACCACCGATCACATTCGTTTTAAAATCAATATGGGGTATACTTACATTAGTTCTAAAGATTATATATATATATATATATATATATATATATATACATTCAAGTAATAAATGTACTACACAAGAGTGCATTTAGTATAAGAACTATATTATTTATAATCAATGATATTTAGTTCAAAAGGTATTTTAATTAAAAACTATATTATACAACCATAACCGTAGTAGATACAACATACAATTTTTTTTATACTCTTTGCCACTTCCGAAAAATAACTTAGACTTAATGCAGATCGTTTTTAAATTTGTTAAAAGAAACAAAAAAGGAAAATGCTTTCCAAAAATATCTGTAAGTTTTAAGAATTCTCAAAATCACATATGTATATCTTATACATGACTTGAATGAACTAAAAGAGATGTATACAATATATAAGCCTCATGAGTTTAAAGGTTACTTAGTTATTCTGGATAACTTATCCATCGTGCCAACTTTGTGAACACTTTTAAACACACCTAAATTGTTCTCACTTCTTGAGTTATGTACATCAATTATTCTATCCTATAATTACCAATATTATATGCGAGTACCTATCTAAATAGTACTTACGAAACCCGACAAATGTACACGATTTTTCTGACGATTGTGTCTGATAAAATGAAAATGAATAGCCCATAATACGATCAAGAGTTTTATCTTCTCACTTAAAATTCATAACAATTTTGACGTAAAAGTCATCGAATTTTTTTTAATCCTGTACGTATTTAATAGTATTAACATTTTTTCAAAAAATTTGTTTTGTATGATTGATATTGAGATTGATAATAATATAAGATTATGTACTTATAGGATGTCTAGACGTTTTTCCTTAAGTTTAAAAAGCAGAAGAAATGTGGCATAACCAGTGGCGGCTTTTAGGAGGAGTCAAAGGGGCTAACCTTCCCCCGAAAAAAAAAAGTGAACTGGTATTTCATACAACTATGTATACATTCTATACAGGACTAAAATTGGGAGCATGCAAGGGGACACAGACCTCCTACCACTCACAGCGTTTATAAAGTGTTCCCTCTAACAGTTCTCCAAACAGTTTACTGAAACGTTCAACTGTTAATTAAAAATAATCATACACAATAAAACAGTTGAAACATTTGCTTTACAATTTAGTTTATGTCACTAAGTGTTAAACAGTGCTTTACAAATAAAATTAATATTAAATATTAATTATATAGTTATATATAAAATACTATATATGTAGCAACCCTTTACCTTTTTTACCACTTTAAACTCTAAGTCTATACAACTAAACAATTGAATGTAATACTATAATGTATGCTTTTGTTATTATTTGTTACAGTTTATAATATTATATTAGTATACTCGAATAATTTAATTGTGTTTTCCCTTTATTTTAATGTATGGTTTTGAATCTGCAATCGACTGTAGCAATACCACGTATAATTTTAACTGATAACAGTTAACTACTGCAACCGTCAAACGCAACATTATTGGTTTTGTTTATCCAGTCAAATAAACATTTTGCTTATCACCTACTTTCAACTATGGATGACGTTACTAAGATTGTTCTAGTACATATTCTCGAGGAACAAGAACGAGTTGAACAAATTATAAATCTGTTATTTTCAAAGAAAAATAAAAATAAAAAAGTTCAGAATTAGTTAACAGATAGACCTAATGAAGGAACTTTTGAAAATTCAATTGCGAAACACCAGGTGCGTCATTTTGAGGGGGGGCAGCCTATGGCAAATACCCCACTCTCAGAAATTTTAAAATGTTGACAATTCTTTGTCCGATAATCAAATGCTAAAATTAATAAATCGTAAATTTTTATGTACTATTTTGTACTCAGGAATCAGATAATATTCTCTTTAAAATCACGTTCATGATTTATTAAAAGTTGGGAAACACTGGCTCTTCCCAGGGTTTATGGCAATCATTATTACGCGAACCTTATAAACTTTATTTTTGGTATATTATATATTTCTATATATGTGATCTTTATAAAACAATTTTCGTGATATCGATACCATAAAAATTGAGCTCATACAGACGCGTACTGGCCCAAAGGGGTAACGAGAAAATCCCGATAGGTCCTCCCAAATATATAAGACCTGGGCCCCTTACCAAATAGGTACCTGTAGTTGCAGTTAAATTCAGTAATTTTATTATTTTTAGCAATTAAAATACAATACTGATGAATAGTCGACTTCTTAATTTAGTACCCAATGGGAAATGAGTATAACACGCAATTGTTGGAATAATTTAATTGATTTGCTTTTGGTAAATATGTCTGTTACCATTATTTGGATTATTAAAATCATTTGATTATTCCCATCACTAGTTGCAACATCACCAGCAGAATCGGTAAGTAATGTTGCTGAAGTTCGGCCGAAAAAACGACCTGTATCAGCTCGGGAATTCAGTAAATTTAATATATTGCAATTTCTTTAGGCATATTTTTT